TTTTTTTTTTTTTTTTTTTTTTTTTTTTTTTTTTTTTTTTTTTGGGGGGGGGCCGCGTTTGGCCCGAACGGCTGAACGCATCCACAAGGGGTCCCATACGTTCGAGCATTCGGGTTCGGCCGTTGGGCCCGTCCTGAACACCGGTTACCCTGTATATATATAATATATATATTTAAACTTATTTTTTGACCCCAAAAAAAATATCCAAAAAGATCGGGCCGCAAACTAGGTCTGGCGGCCGCGGCTGAGGCCGTCTTTTTCGGCGTCAGCGGCCGAATTGTCCGCGGCCTAGGCCGCGGGTTTCACATAGCTGCACGGTGCTTCTTGCTTGCACGCTCTGCCGCGTCAGGGTGTGTGCTCTGGCTTCTCCGCACCTTATTCTCACGTGTAACTGTAATTCTCTTCTTGGCAAAGCGCGAATGTAACTGCAATCTTCTCCTTCTTGATATCTTCGTCGCGCCCCAGCGCACACATATTTTCCTCAATCTTATTGGCCTGAACGATGCATAAATGGATTGACGCATGGAGAGTGGCTACCCCACGCCGCGGCCCAACCATGTAGTTGTAGACACTTCCTTCCTTCTTCTTCCCTCTCACTCAAGCACAATCTCGATTACCTCACGTGGACGCTCATGCTATAATTTGTTTCAAGCGCGATTAAGTCACTCTCTAATCAACTTTGGAGTTAGCGTGGTCGAGAGGATCGACTAACAGGCAGGAGCAGGACGATGAGTAAGGAGTGGGGCGATCCGACGGGGTGAGATTTGCGAAACCCACTGAAGACGGGTGCTACACCAACAGGACAGCCATAGTGTCTCAACGGTACACAGAACAAGAATTCGCCCCCGACGGCGGGACCAACGGAGGTGACTGCGCCGTATCCCGGGGCCTAAACCCCGTATCCCGGGCCAATAACGGAACCCCGTTATTCGCTCACCCGCGTGCGTTCATATCCCTGAAACTTGACACAGGAGAACTCAGTTCCGACCTGGGACTCCACACGCATTTTCCTAAAATCCAAGGTCCTGCCAATGCTGGTTTGGGGGGCCAACAGGTTATCTCTAGCTGGTAGAACACCAAGCTTGCCCAGGCTCGTACATGAGGGCAATGGGGATTGAACGCACTACCTCCTGCATGCAGCTTCTGTGCCTTACCAACTGCGCTAGGCCCGGAGGAGTGGTGTAGTGATGCCACTATTGGGTACTCCATTGGCTCTGAACATTCCATCCGGGCAAGGGGCGGGGCAATGGGCCAATCGCCACGTGGAGAGGACTGACCACATGGACACAGTTGGCCCCATCATGGGTAACAAAAGAACAAGTCAACCTTGCACTGCATACTTGGGGCCTAGTTGCACTACTCGCCAGTCACATTTCATGGCGGAAGCGTGGAGAGTGAAAAAACTGAGAATAGCGTCGAACTCGAGTCCTGGTTGCACTTACTCGCCACTATATTTCTCCTACAGAAAAGTGGATTTTTTTTGTCTACCTGATGTCTACTCGTGAAGCCCTGCACTCTCCAGAAAGCTGTTTTGTGGAGAGGCCTGAGGACCACTCTCCACAAACCGCGGTGCACAGGCGGGAAACCGAATTCACTCTCCAACAACTTGTGTCGACGGTGTGGCCCTTGGGCATGTGCACGTCTCCTTACCTCGAACCCTAGGTCTGTCGTTAGCAAATTCCTGGGGGAAAAGTTATAAAACCTCCAGGCGGCCAGAACGCCAGTTTAAAAAGTCATGTGAGTTGAGCGAAAAATATGTGGCTGTCCCCCGATGAGGAGAAGGCAGCTTTACAAAAAAAAAAAAAAAAAAAAARAAACCTTTGTATTCATTTTTCCCTAAATGGGACAAATGGTGTCMCCGCCCCCAAAATGACTTTTCAATTGGTTGGGCTTAAAGAATTAGCCTTAAAAAAAAAAAAAAAAAAAAAAAAAAAAAGACTTTTCCTGTCAATCTTTCACCCTGGCTGGGGTGGTAAGGGCCGCTCGGAAATATGGCGGGAAAGTGTTTTACAGGTTCCAAAAATGACACCAAAAGTCATTTTGGGGCCTGCGGCACTTCTGCCCCGTTTCGGGTGAAATGAATACAAAGGTTCCTCCGCGGGAGGTTTTATAATTTTTGGTTATTTTTCCCAATTCGTTCCCCATCTGCAAATCCGCTGTCGGTCTAACGACCGCTCTGCTGAGATGGTCTTGCGCTCCCAGCCTGTCTCACCTCCTCTTGTATTCTCATCAGAGGACGTCGTGTCCCCACCGCGTCTCTCCATCTTGATTTCTCCTTCCCATCATCCGTCTCTCGCCCTCGCCTCTCTCTCTCTCAATCTCTCTCTCTCTCTCTTTTCTCTCTCTCTCTCTCTCTTTTTCTCTCTCTCTCTCTCTCTCTCTCTTTTTTTTTTCTTTTTTTTTCTTTTTTTTTCTTTTTTTCACGTGATTCTGCTCGTGTGTGTCGGAATGGGCGTGCTCATCTCTGTGTGTGTGTGTGTGTGGGCGCGTCTGTCGCGGGTGCTTAATTAACCCGTTGGCTTGCTTCCCTGCTTGCTCGCTCGTTCTCCCAGTCTCGTTGTAGGGGGTACTTACCTCTCCTCGTCACTGGATCGCTTCAAGGCTAGGCCATAGTCTAGACTTGCAGGTCGTGAAAGGCACAGCTGAAGGTATGTGCAACAGTCCCACAGTCGTTTCCACGATGTCTCTGAGGATATTGCCAGTACGTGATGTGTTAGGTATACCCTTTCACTTAGTCCGATTCACAACCCGTGGGCTCTAGCATGAGCCCTACTCTGACCTTCATTTAGTCGTATGCAAAGCCTCCCCACGCCCTACCCCCTCCCTCCACCTACGATATATTCTTTCCCGACGGCTCTTGCTGGGAGAGCTGTGAGAGCTTTATGCAACGCAGCACATTCCGTACATCTCGCTCGCCTTCACTCCGGAATGAGCCCCAGTTTCTGCAGTACTCCCCATAGCTCTTTTTGGACATTTGGTCGCAGACTCGCAGTTGTGTCCCCTTTTGACTTTCTGTTTTTGGTTTTTAATCCGTATCAGAGTTGACCCAACGATCGACCTTCTGCCCTCCGCCTCCCGAGGATCCAACACTCACTGCCAACTTCTCTCTGCTCCCTCTCTCTCTCTCTGTGCCCCCTCTCTCTCTCCCTGCCCCCAGCGTCCCTCGCTCC